CAGACTGCAGACCACGGATTAGAGATTGTAAATTAAAAGACACCAAAAATCTTCCTAATAAAGGTGACACCATCAAAAATATAACATCGAGTGAAAGTGAGAAAGTAGCCAAGTTGGCCTCATTTCCAAGATGCTGTTGGCTATTCTTCACCAACACGACTCTTTATTGACTCACCCAGCATATCACTAATTGCGTTGATTCTTTATTCTTCTTTGATTATTGTAAATTGATAATAACAAGTAGCAATGCCCACTAATGACTGTCTAAATAGTAGTCTTCTGTAAAAAAAGAGTTTTTAGATTGCGAGCACTTCGTGCTTACTACAGTTACGTCAACAAAAACAACTAGGATAGATCACGGACATTTAACATCTTTTAAATGACGTATTTCATCTTAGCAGTATTTAAGGATATGCTAAATAATCTAAACCGAACAGATCCTACCTGGACTCGACGAATTACCAGAAGCGCATTTTGAATTTCTAAATAGGCAAATCGACAATGACTTTTTTCACAGGCCAATCATTGCTCATACTCAAATCCTAGTACACAGGTGGGGCCCCCGTAGAATAAGGATTCCGGCGCTGTTTCACAGACAGACTTATATAACCAGAGTTTAGTTTCGTCTGTGGTGCAGACTAAATTGCTAGCCTCTTTGTATGGATTCATGAGCGGGTTTGTGACATCGGCAGACATTATTCTGCTCTAATTCAATACGAAAAGAACAGCCAACAACTCCTTTAGGAATGAGGTCGGTGTAATTTGCATGAAAAATATAAACTTCGCTTCTAGGCCTTACATGTACTTCTCGGAACAAGGTAATGTTGATGATGATGCCACCTTTATTACGACACTTTTGGTTTCATTCAATTTACAGTCTTGCAGCCTCATAGAGTGTGCAGTCTGCAGTCTGCAGTCTGCAAATGTCATACACCGCAGGCCAAATTTCAGCTCACTACTCTTCTTCTAAGATAAGAAAAACTAATTTACGTCTTTTTGGTCCGGAACAAGGGCCACGTGCTGTACTCGAGGTAGACTAAAAAGTGTTTTTATGCCGTCGTTGGGTGTTCCTTTTCCGTGGGCAAAATGTTCTAATTATTTTCTCTCTGCGAACAAACATGCTTCCTTTTTAACCATACGGCGAAAATGTACACATACTATGTAAGCGTTTGAATAAAATATATTTCTTACCTGCACATAAACTTCCTGCCTTCACAGCCGCGCCATTCGGAACCTCACCATTCGCAACTGAAATTAAAGACGATTAAACAACTCAGAGCAATACATTATTATCCTGCGAAGAATAAACGAAACGCGCCTCGAATCAACGAAAAACTTCACAAAATAAGCCTATCTTGAGCTCTCTTACAAGCCTCATTTTGTTGCTCGACGACCTTAGAGACATTTTGAACCAAACTATCCACGAACGGCGAGGTAGACTTCAAGCCATCAACCCTTCTTCCTCGACCATTATCATTCGATTGGCCGAAAGCCCTCCACGTGATCGGCAATAACTCTCGTTTCCAGAGGCCGCGATCCTTTTGACGGAGATAACGAAAGCTCTGGGGACGAGATTGCCTTCAAGAGTGCCTTTAAAAAGAGTGCCTTAAAAGAGTGCCTACAAATAATGGTCTGCTAATGCGCAATGTTGTCCAGCTGTGTAAGTGTTTGGGTTGTGTGTAGTAGTTTGACAGCTTCATGGCCTAATGCGTAAACGAAACCTAGCCTACGTGTCTCCGTTTTTCCCTTGGCGGGGGGAGGGTGCGGCTACACGTAGGCTAGGAGTAGTCAAACGCTAAAAATCGGTATCTATTTATTAATCGATAAATCGGTAAAAATCGGTGAATCAGATTTGATTGATATCCATTGTATCGATCAATCGGTAGAAATCGATGACACACTTGTTTCGTTTATCGACTTATCTAGATTTTACCGATTCCATCTATTTTTATCGGAAGATACATTTGGAAAGGTAGTCCTCTTCTTCCGGACAAAATATTCCAAACGAAAATTCGGGTTCCATTTCTTCAAAGCTATCGTTGATACCAGTTTCAGGAAGTGTTTTGATGTTTCTGTACATTAAACGCGATTCCGGGACGAAATTTACCAGTCTTACCATTGCACCACCACCCCCGCCCCGGAGTAGTCTGTACTGTACACAGACGCCACCTCCCCTCAAAAAGATAAGGGGGGAGTCTGTACACAGGCTACCGGGGGGCACTTCCATATAAAAGTGACGGGAATGCTCGGGCAGTATTAAAATTGCAGATTTTGGTCTCACTATTTGGGATGGAAACTGTTCTCGCTGGATTCGTGTGGACGGGAGGCCAAACGGGAGGTGAAAAATTTCTGTTTTGTAACAAAAACGGATACGTGGATTGGGCCTTATTAGGCGACGTTAACGAAAACTACGAAAAAACAATAGGTTTAGCTTGGCAATGAAACAACAACTTTGCACGTACATCACTCATTTTTGAACATTTCTTTGCCGTTACTGCACAACCACGACGTGAAAATACCTAATTTAATAACTTTTTCTGTAGGGCGTGAACACAAAACAGCGACTATCTTTTTCTATTCCGAACTTCGATATAGCTTTGAGAATTCAACTCCAGAAGAAAATTGCCAACATTCGACCGAAATTGAACAAGACGGAATAAACCAACGTTTTCGAAGCCGTGGACGTCGTCGTTGCTTAAGCTCCCCATTGCACAATAATGCCCGTGAAAAAACAGAGTTTATTTGACACTGCCTTGAGAAAATCCACACAATCACACTTGCCCCTGGCAATTGAATACAGACAAATTAACATCCCTTTTGATAAAATTAAAACGGCTCAGTTTTTATGTCACACTGAATAGCACTGCACCATAATGAAATAGTCTTGGAGACTCAATAAATCATATCAAGAAGCAAGACCATGGCCAGTGTTTAGTGGCATGAAATCCTAGATAGAGATGGGCAAACAAATGAAAGCCTTTAGACTAAATAGTTTAACGTAGGGCCAAAAGTCGACCTTTTTAGGAGACGAACCAAAGTCTAATTTGGGTCGACCCAAATTAAGTTAAGATCGTCTGTTTGGTCAGACGTCGAACTTAAGACGCGTCGAACAAACTCATAAACTGAATCTGACCTAAAAGCTATTTTATATTAATTGTATATTTCATAATTTTTTCCCCAACAAGGCTATAATATGTCTCATCAACGTGTTAGACGATCCAAACTCATTCAGACACGTCAGACGAAACTTAACTGAGCTATACGTCGAACTTTTCAGGAACTTAACTTACTATGTGTGGTTCGTCTCATGAAACGTTCTGCGTTTGGCTTAGGCGTGCGGTTGTTTTTGTCATCCCCATTCAAATCACGTTGCTTTTTAAAATCTAGCAAAGACCTGAATCGGGTTATGTAATCCTCGCGTGAAACGGAAACTTGTTTTCTTTCACGCTTTTTCGACTCAGAAAAGGCGTCCAACTTTGCACATACAATTCAGCCGGGAAATAACTTTGTATATTACCTGGCATAATTTAATCCGGTTATGTAATCCTTGCGTTTAGAAAACAATGCACTGTAGCTATTACTCTTTTTCACATATACAATTACAATAGGCGGCCAGTACTGCCGAAGATTATTCATGGAATGGCATATACCTTTGCATGAAAAAAAATATTTTAATTGTTTTATCTTCGATGGCGTCCTTTAAATACCCAGCTAGCCAAGCTTCCAACATCATATTCATAGATCACATTTGGCAAATTCTGGAGCGGAGCTTTCCTAAAGAGTGAGTATAATTCTTTTGAGTTTTATTTGAGAATATCTTGTCTTGGTCTTGGTCTTGGTCTTCTTAGACTTCTGAGTCTGTTTGAAATGTTTTAGAAAAAACATCCAGGCATGAATTGAAGGAATTTCAAAGCAAAACGTAGCTCTGAAACAGTTCCTGTAACTTTAAATTGTTCCTACCTGGCACTGCACAGGGGCGGATCCAGGATTTTTTTTAGGAGGGGTGCACTCGTCTCTTGCTCTACTTCAACACCAATAAACCACATAGTTTTTTTTTTTTTTGCAGAATACCAGTTGTATTAGAAAACCGCAGGTCATCTCAGGGGGGGGGTGCGCACCCCCTGCACCCTCCCCCTAGATCCGCCCCTGCTGCAGCAGGAGCAAAGTAAACAAACGCATTTTAAGTTTCGTTTTCTAACTTCAGTATCCAATTATATTTCTTTTTCAGTTTTAATTTTTCCTGGACGATGTCTGCGTTAAACGCCATTTTACTCGTTGGGGCTTTATCTTTGCTGCCAAGAGGGCTCAGGGAAGCGGTAAGTGTAAAAATTACGGAGAAAACAACCGTTATTAAAAAAAAAACCGAACGAAAAGGCTTACTTGATCATCTCGAAAAACGTTTGTATTGTGAGCTTGAGGTCTAGATCTTGTTTTGACCCCGTGTTAAATAACAGGAGGTCCTTTGATAACATATATGTAGTTATAAGAGAGTTTCAGATCCGAGTTTACCGCGAACCTCTAACCGCGGTTTGCGGTTACCCGTTTGGGGTTCTTCGTTCAAACATAATTCGATTTAGATTGGTGGTGAATTAGATTAAGGCCGCCATTTTGAATCAGCAGCCATGAATGGCACTTGTTTTCAAGATCAAATAGGATTTATCAAACTTAGCATTTCGCCCGAATTTGCCCCTCTGTTAATGGATAAAGACTTGTTCCACAAGATTTTTGTATCATTACGTGGGATAAAACAAGAATTATACGTTAAAAGCTTTCAGGTAAATGACATACGTGAAAACCTACCTCCCCACGTTGAAAACGCACGTCGTAAACCTCAAACGTGACGCGAAAGACTTGTCACTTGACCTCCAGCGGTTAGAGGTTCGCGGTAAACTCGGATCTAAAACTCTCTATAGCTAAAATGAAAACTTACGAAAAATGACATTTCCATCGCCAAAAGCGGCTTGTCGTCGTTTACTTTAGTTCAACCTAGAGTCTAATCCATGAAAATTCTTGACCGCCGTATAACTTGCCATAAACCCTCAAAGGCAAACTGTAAGCCAAGAATAAATGCCCGATAGTTTTATTTTTCAGCATTTGGAACCTAACGTGTAATCTAGGACATTTCTTCAGCATAGTTAGCAAACATACAACAAATGCATCTTGTTGTACAGGGGCATATCCAGCCCATAGAACTTAAGACCCGGGTGTTGGGGAAGCTAAAAAGCTTATAGCTTAAAGCCTTGTTGGTAAGGTAAAAACGTACTGGTCATGCGTGCAATTTTCAGTCAGTGGAAATGAAAGTCAGCCAGGCCTACAAATAGACGAAAAGCTGGCTCTCGCCCCTGTAAGACAACCAAGACTACTGTTAAGTTTTCTAACACGTGAATTCATTTTCCAGAGCCTCCTTGTGACGTAACGGTCGTACCTGCTACTATATAAATGACCCCTGTCCACCTGGAACTAATGATTGCTCCAGTCAGTACAGTTGTCCAGTACAAACCAACAAATGCTGCTGCCCTGGTACGGTCAATATCACTATTATCTACTGTCAAATATTGGGTATTAACCAATTATCAGGCCAACTGTCACTATAAAGATTACTGCTAGGATGCTCAATATTGTTTTCCTTTTAGTGTTGTTCAGTGTTCTTGCAAAGTTATTGACTGGAGAAAATTATGGAGGCTTCGTGCTGCGTGTGCTCCGAATGAGATTAAGTTCAACGAACTGCCGTGAGACTAGCAGCCATTTTGGCAAGGTGTAATGTAGTAGTAATTTTAATTAGTTCCTTTTCTGTTACAGGCTGCCCACTGGACTGGGTTGAAAAGGGATCCAATTGCTATCGAGCCATTCCAAATCTCCAAAAAGCCATTGATGCTCGAAACGAGTGCAAAAAATTGGGAGCTGACCTTCCTGTCATCAAATCAACCGAAGAAAACACCTTCCTTTTAAAGCTGACAGAGGATCGAGGTGGAACTTGGCTTGGAATGTACGCTGAGAATTGAAGAACAATGATTTTCACTGGGTGGACCGCACCTCCGTGGCTGACACGTTTTCCGCATGGGCTCCAGGCGAACCAAACTATCCCGCTGACGAACACTGTGCTTATATGTACGTTGACAACTACAACGACAGAAGAGGAAAATGGAATAATCACATTTGTGATGCAAAGCACTATGTTGTTTGTCAGAAACGTAAATAAAGTGTCAGCACCCTTTTTGAGTCGTCACTGACGCGCAGCGAGGAAATGGTATCGATCATGACTAGTATAATTACACTGTACCAGGTGGAAAAATATTCGAGTCATTATAAAACTTCAATAAATGTGTTGGAATGCCGATCCGATGTTATTCTTACCCTAAATAGAATCATAGCCAAATAGTTATAGTTGCATGACTGAGACAGAGGAGTTACATGATTACCCTCGGGGAGGAAACCTGCCATATGGGCTATATGGATATGCGTCGCTGTGAAGGGTATTTGGTTTTTAAGCAGTTTACTCTGGGATAGCTAGGGTATATAAATCAGAGAGTTTGGGTCTGTTCTCAAGAAAATTGATCAATTAGTTGAAGATCTTAGTCCAGACTAGAGAAATCAGTAATTAGGGAGATTTGGGAGAGTTTAGTTTAGCAAAGAATAAAAAATTCAGCTGAACTAGCTCTGGTATAGGCTAAGGGTTCCAAGGTCCCAAGCGGAACAAACCCGCCCAAAAATTCCTCACGTTCCCCCTGGGACGATTACACGTAGTTAGGTCCCGTGGACAAAGCGGCAGAATCGTGCTCAACTCGAGTTCTTTATCCTTATCCGAGTTCCTTGTTTTATCTATTTTCCTCTTTTCCAACAGCCACTGCGGAGACTTTTCAAGAGACCAGACAAACTAATCTACCTTTCAAAAAACGCGCTCTTATCCATGCCAAATTTTCAAGCAGACAAATAAACAAACTCAACAGCGATTTCTTGCATTGGCAGCTTTTATAATTTGTTTGCCCCCTGAGAAACCACGTGACATTGCTTTTTTTCCCATCAGTCCTTTAGTGCGTGCAAAGATGGTATCGTGAATAAGGTCTATTAACCGAGATGACAGCCGGGACGAAACTACCCATGGTCGACCCTGACTGACGGGGACCGACTAAACAATGAGCCTAAGGTGTCCCCACAACTTTAAACGACGGGTTTAACAACTAGTAATTTGTTCCAAGAATTTAAGAAGTAGGAAAAAACACTCAACTACCTGTCTACCCATTCGTTTCCTAGCTTCTGACTGCGTGTTTTACAACGAAACACAGCAAAGTTCCTAACCTAATTATAAGGAGTTGGAATTAGGATCACCGCTAATTCTTTATTGTCAGTCTGTAGACCCGTGAACGGCGCCGTGAATACCAGAATATTTCTCTTTTGTTTTTTAGGACATTGAAGGTTTATCCCATATCAATGAATGGAGCTCTTCCAAAGGCAGGAATGGCAACCTAATTGTTACGGCCTCCATTTAAATAAAGCCGTCTTTCACGTCGACCTGGATTTCTTCAAAGTATTCATTAAAGAATGGACTTTAACAAAGGCAACCGAAATCCACTTTTACCCATGGATATTCAATATCCATGAATATCCAAATTGGTAATTCCCGCTCATGCAAACAGAACTCATTTTCAAACATTAGATTTAAGTGGAGAATTTCTCAAAACAGGAAATGAGCAGACACAGGAGCTGGCGGACCGACGCCGACAAACACAGTCCAAAACATATTCTTATTGTGATAGACGTATATGAAATAAATCATAAGAGAACTGCGGAAATGAAATCAAATGAAGAATGTCCACGCAGTGGAACATAATTTATGCAATTGCGTAAGAAGTCTGAAAAAAATTCAGGACATCAAAGGGGTTTGATACCGGTGCGATGCTCTAACCAACTGAGCTAAGAAGCCACTGATGTTGGGAGTTGGTCAATTATGTGTTCATATTTTCCCGTGAAAGAGATGAATGTGATAGATGTATATGAAATAAATCATTTAAGAACTGCAGAGAGATAAAATCATATGAAGACTGATCCTCGCAGTTGTGAACGCAATTTTGGCTCAATTTGAGAGAAATTGGGAGAAATTGTGAACAGAAAAAATAAATAAACAATGTTCAGAGAAAGAAATTGTGAACAGAAAAGAGACAATAAAAGGAAGACTTGGTCACATGATGCAAAGTCACGATTGCCGCCGTCTAGTTTGTCATAAAGGCGGTTCTAAATCTCTCTATATTTTCTTAATTATGGGGCAAGAGCACTCAGTTCGCGCGCACGTGGACCTCCTTTATAAGGCGGTAGTTTTGCTTTTTGCATCGTTTTGAAAGGGATTAGCTTTGGAGTTGGAAATAGCCTGTTTATCATGCGCCTGTTACGGAGCTTTTTTTCATGGTGAATAAAATATGTGGCCTGCAGGACTAAATACGTTAACATTTGTACAAGTCATGATCAGATTACTAAACATCACAACCTCATTCACTTATAGAGTCAGCTTGAGCAGATGCATCGGCTGAGATGGGTTCCGTACAACAAGGTTCCGCTCTGTATATATTTCGTAAATAAAACAGCGTATTTCACGTCAGTTATTAATAAAAAAAACTTTTTCATCTTGCCTTTTTCAGACTGAGAAATCAACATAAAGAATAGGACGATTTGTCTTGGAGAAGAAAAAAATGTAAATGGATAGATGCGAGGTTGCCAGGTCTGTTTCACAAATGTCTTGGAAGAAATTAAGGGTGGCTGTCTTTGTTTTTAAATAATTTTTACCTTGCTGATTAGAATTACTTTTATTCAAAGTAGCAATAACAAAACTCCCTGATGAATTTACGTGAAAAACTGTTAGCCTTCACGTACCTGTTTATTCTTTATGTCTTTTGTTTTAGACCAGAAATGGAGAGCACTCACCTGTAGCCTGTGTACGGTCGTCCCCTCTCCCTCAGAAAAAATCGGGAGAGATCTCCCGATTTTTTCTGAGGAGGGGGGACGTCTGTACACAGGCTATCACCTGCTGTTTTTAGCCGTTTGCCGTCATTGTCAGATTCAGCATCGCCAGTGGACGCTCAGGTAAGTTAACCAAAAAAACCAAAGAACAACTCTCAAAACTGTCTTTTTTATCACTTAGAAAAATCTGAGAAAAAGGCAGCTGGAAGCACAAATGCTTTTTAAAAGCTTGACTTTGCTTGTTGCGGTTACGATAGCGTACGTGATTGGAATTCGTTGGCTTCCTCTTCCAAAATTTTCTCACTTTTGAAATGTCTTAAGCTCAAGCGGGGAGGAGCGTTAGGCTCTCACTTCTTTTTGAACTTGTAACATCTTTGACGATACTAAAAACGGCTGCGAGGGAGACTAGCAGATATATTGACCGTTTAGGAGAAATGTCATGAACTCCTTTAAATGAGAATTTGAGTTAGAAAAGTTGCTTTTCTACAGACAGAGCTCCAATAACTTCATTCAAAATGTAACTAATTAATATTTGATGAATGGGATACAAAAGAAACAGGACCAGTTTTTGAAATTGAGTGTTTAGATGTTTATACTTAATCCACATGTATTTGTTTTAATTTGGTGAACCTTTCTTATCTAGAAGTCGCGTACTGTGATGATTCTGGAAAGGCTTACAGCTCCTACTTTTAACAAATTAAACGAAATTAACGTACTTATAATGTATGACCCAGTTGTGAAATGATCGACGAGTTGAAAACTTTAAGCCCCAATTCAAAGGGACCATAGTACCATAAAAGTATTCAATGCGAGCTCGCCCATTGTCGAAATAAGAGAAGTTGAAATTCCCCCCCTTTTAGAAATCTGCCCCCCCCTAAAAGAAAAAACGCACTACTTCTGTTGAAATTAACCGCAACAGCCATTTTCGCCCTAAGCAATATCTATGTCGCCATGATTGCACATTATTTACATATGTTTACTAAATTAATCTCATGCTAAATAAATGTATTTTAAACTATTCTTTCTTGGTATTATGTTGAGTCTTGATGTGCCATCTAAGATGCGATGACGTAATGAAGGCCTTGTCACAGAACTGGCACTGAAATGGCTTTTCTCCGGTGTGTGTCCTTTCGTGCGCCTGAAGAGTTCCATATTGGGTGAAACCTTTGGGACAATACCTAAGTGAATGGAAAGAGAATGGAATAAAGGAGGGAAGGAAAATAAAGGAATGAATGTATCTAATTGATTTCATTTGACTTCTTTTGATGCAGCACGCTTTTCCCACAAGGAAATGCTTTTTATTTGCATGTTGAGAATGGATAGTTTTTGAAATGAAATTTACCCATATCTCGAAAGGATGTTTTAGTTCTTTACTACAAGATTTCAAACTGTGATAAGAATTACAAAAGTTAGACAAAGGCTAAATTCCTTTGTAAGGATTTCTCTGTTAGTTAAATTTGTTTTCACTGGAAAGTCAGTTGACGAAAAAGCGAATTATATAATTGTGCCATGTACACCGCTAATCACCAACCTCCAATCACGCTTCCAGGCGATTGGAAATAGTGGGCGAAAGAGAGAACGGGCACACGCGAGGGAGACACGTGAGACCTCTCCCCTCGCGTGCCTCCTTCTCGCGCGCCCGTTTTTTCTTGTGCCCACTACTTCCAAGCGTCTGCTACACAGGCTACTGGGAAAGCACCGGTCAGCTATTGGCCATTTTTCCCTCTGTCCATAGTAACAGTCCCAGAAGTCAACTCGGCCCAGTTTCTGGTCATGCTGGTTTTCAGTGTCACGCCATTCAGAATAGATCAAAATAAAAATCAAAACCGTTCAATAGATAAAGTCCAGAATCTGGGAAATGAAAGCAGGTACATCTACAAAGACCCTCGCCAAAATTCAGGTCAGAGGAATATTTCGTATACGAGATATCTGAAGAAATGTTCCACCCAAACTTATAAAGATTTGTACGGAGACGCCATGCTGGTGCTCACCTGGATGAGCTCCAACATGGCGGACGGAAACCAACAGAAACATCTGTTGCCGAGTTTTGCTACAAAAGCGTGAATTTATTCCTCGAGAAACTCATTAACATTAGAGTAATACTTTTTCTAATACACGAAATGTTTAGACAGCAAAATTTCCTGAAATAAGTAATTTTTTTCACCTACATGACAGCTCTCTTGGCTGTCATGTAAATGCCGCGTCACGCAAAAGTTTAGAAGTTCAAGCGTACTCTATCACAAAACCAAAAACCCTTTTGAAGCAAAAATTTGTATGAAAATTAGTTTTCAGCTGCTCTAATACATCGTGACAGTAAAATCTCGGTAGGATCGATAGTTTTTCAGGTTGAATTTTAGTGACGTCATGTGAAAACCAACAATAGAACACCCTGTTCAAAACGCGAAAAGTGAAATTGTATATTACCCTGCCAGGTGACCGATTAGTAACCTGTTAAAGACTCGAGACCCTGAAAATCATACCCGGTTCTTGCAGTAGCCGAATAGGGGAGTGTCTCCCACCCCCCTGGGGCCGAGAAGTAAGCCTCGTTTTCACGTTCAAGTGTTTAGTTACCACTTGAGTACTGAAAACCATACTAGGAAGCTTAAGTAACCACGATGGCAACGCCATCTAAAACGTCACTTTAAAAGTGAATTCGTACTGTTTCAAACTTGTTTAATCTTATCCTAATTCATTCACATGATTTGTCAAATGTTGGAATTATCTCTAAATCATGACTGTATCTAAGTTCAGAAAAAAAAGAAAATTGTTGTCTTGTGTTCACGTCAGTCTCCATAAGACGTGAAACTACGTAGTTTCACGTTGAACTCGTGCAACAACGACAAAGAAATGAACAAAAAAGCGTGGTGCAAGTGCAAAGTTGTTGTTTTGCTCAATAAACCCATTGCTTTTTTGCCGTTTATGTTGCCGTCGCTCCGTCTTTGCTTAAGCTCTCTACTATCTTCCCTAGCACATATCAGGTTAGGCTTATGAGAGAGAGTTCCCCCTTTCCCCCGGGTTAAGCTGTTACTATACGTACCTGCAACGATAGGGCCTTTCCCCAGTATGCTTGTACATGTGGGTCTGTAGGTTGCGGTACTGGGTAAAGGACTTAGGACAGACCTTGCATTTGTAAGGTTTATCATCACTGTGAATCAGCAAGTGACGTTGTAGATGACCATAGCGGATAAAAGATGCTGAACAGATGTCACATTTAAATGGCTTCTCTCCTGTTGGTAATGAATTAGCAAGTTAATATCAGATAACAAAAAAAGTTAGCAAACCTTAAAAATTCTATCGCCTATAACCGATATCCTGTACCTTTTTTATAAAGTGATCTAATTGAAATAACTGTGTTCAAAAGAGGATGCGATAACATAAAATAACATATTCACTCGAAAATTGCCGCCATCAAATAAGCGCCTTACCTTCCCAGCAACTTAACAATGCATGCAGTGCTTGTTGATTTTCATTGCTTTTTATATTTGGCTAATTCTGATGTGGCTGTTTCGAGAGGGTATTAGACCTTAAGAATAACTTTTGTTACGTTTCTTTGCCTCTTCTCTTCGGTTTTGAACAAAACAAAAGGAAAAGAAAGAAAAATTCGTGGTACCACGTAAAAAGGAAAAAAAGAAGATTTATATCAGTGCGTCCCACCGAGAACAGAGTACTCGGCATGAGTAAGCTTACCTTTATGAATGTACATATGGGTATGCATCTCATCCCTTCTGGTGAAAGCGCGCCCACATTCCCCGCACTTGTATGGTTTCTCGCCAGTATGTAGGCGCACGTGCATCTTGAGAGCACGTGACGTAGTAAAAGCAAACGAGCAGACTTCACAGACGTAAGGCCTCTCTCCTGTATGCATGCGAATGTGCGTTTTCAAGCCGCTGAGCCGAGTAAAATCCTTTGCACACAAGCGACACTTATACTTGTCCCCATCTTTGATGAAAAGCTCCTTAACTTGTTCACGTGCCAGGAACGTGAACATGGCTGAAAAGGGCAAAGTCCCAGGCGTTCTGGAATTGCCCCCCATGTGCGACAGCACGTGCTTCTGAAAGTTTCCAAACCACGTGAATTCACGGTCACACTCTTCGCATTTGTATGGCTTGTTGTTGTTATGGATCAGCAAATGACGTTGAAGATCGCTGGGGCGCGTGAATGACATCACACAGCAGCTGCATTTGAATGGCTTTTCTTTGGGCTTGCCGGAATCTTCAACGCTGGAACTGGACTCGCGTCTAGAAGCATGGAACTCCTCCTCCAGAAAAGTAGTTTGTATGGAGCTTGAGTTGTCGGAGGGCGAATATAAGATGGAGTTTCTAGGATAGCTGGACATCTGGTGTTGGAAATCTCTCACTACGCTATGTACTGACTCTACGCTTGCTTCGTACTCTGACATATCCAAAGGCTCCCAGCCTTCCCACTTTTCTTGCGTTAACGGTGAGGATGCAGTGGGCTCATCTTCAAAAGTGGAGATTTTCTCTGGTTTAGCAACTGTTTTTACTGAAAGTGAAGTAAAGCAAAACGTGAGGAAAAATGAAATTAGCGAAATCAGGTTTAGACGAGGATGGTCTTGATTTGGTCATACCGTAAAATTCCGAAAGTAAGCCCCTCCAACTATAAGCCCCCCAAATTGCCCCTCCAAATATAAGCCCCCGGGGACTTGTACTTGGAAATTGCCCTAAAGTACAAAGTAAAACAAAGCAAAAACGGTAAATTTCCTTCCAACTATAAGGCTAGCTGAATCGATTTTCAAACGCAACTTTCCCTCCGTAGATAAGCTCCTCCAAAGTAAGCCCCTCAAAAAGGGCCTTTGAAAAATATAAGCCCCAGGGCTTTTTTTCTGAATTTTACAGTAGTTAATTAAAGTGGAATGGTTGGGAAACCCTTTGTTGTAGGTTTTTTTATAGCTTTTTTGGACCTGACCATGCACAACGTTCAATAGCATTCTTACCATTTTGAAGTTATTGACCAATAGAAACACTGCATTAATTTATTCAGTCATAATTTACGAACAGAAAATAAAGGATTGTGCACGGTCAGTGAGCCTCCAACATAACCTACAGCACCATATGTTTTCAACTTTGATGTTTGCCGGCTTTCCTAACCAGTCTCCTCTACTAACTATGATTTGGTTAGTGATCGCAGCTACAGTTAAGCAAAAAGCATCATATTTCTCAATATGGCGCTTTTTCCTTGAGATCTCAGATCTGTAAACTAACTGCACGCTTAAGAATGGACTGAATTTTAACTGACTTAGCTATTTGTTCAGATAATCAAATTTTCTTTTGACTCTGTTAGCTCTGTAGCCCCGTTCCTCATGATATAAGGAAAAATGGAGCGTGGATAAATTTAGAAGGATGGCAACAATATGTCTGATTTTAAGTAGGAAGTGTCGGGCGAACGTGAGTTAACATTTCTGCCTTGTATACCTCCGTTTACTTCTCGGACGCCAATACACATGCACAATATACACGAATAAAGGGCTTTCGGATGGTTGAGTAAAAGGAAAGACGTATATCATCCGAGAAAAAGTAGGTATCTTCTCATATCTGCGCAAAGAATAGACTTTGTATTTAGCTTATCCGTAAATATCCGTAAACATATGGAAGCAAGCTGGTAAATGCGCTTCAGAGTCTCGGATTCAGCCTTCTGTTTTACTTTACAGGGACACCCAACGACCGAATGTTTTCAGATACGCCAGAAGTGTCCCAGAATGTCTTTACTGTGCTTTAGAAACCTGTTTGCGTAATTTAGAAATGCTCTGAAGACTATGGATCCGTTCGGATGTCTTAGGGGAACTTGGGTCGTCTCGAAAGTCCTAGGTGGCTATATTGACTCATCCAAAACTGTTAGCTACCCCTGGTGGGTGCGATCAAAATTTCGCAGAAATAGAGAAGCTGTACTTCTTTGTCTAAATACCGAATTTTGGAGAGACCTCAGCAATAAACGCAACATCGCGGTGATAAAATGTAAAAAAGCACAACCTCCGAAAATCGTACTAGGTAAGTTAGTACAAAAAGACGAAATATCTTAGACTAATACAACGGCTATCAAGAAACTTTTAGCCTTTCTCGTGCTTTAGACATTTTTAGGCAATAATTGTTCCTTCGAGCAGTTATTTCAGTCGCTGGGTGCCCCTAATATTTCGGATCCTGTTGCCCCATGCAGAGGGGATTACATAAAATACCGGCTGTCACCGGTAGCTTTTTATCAAGTTGCCCCCAACAAGGAACATTAAAGGGGTTCAAAACCTTGGAGATAAACAAACTCGTTGGAAGCGCTTTTTTTGTCAGTTGTTATGCATTGTAAATTCGTCCAAAGGCATCTACTGAGCAGTCTGAGTAGTGCAGATCCTGCTTGAGCTGTTTAACGTGAGAGGTACGAATCAATGAATGAATGAATGAACGAACTGACTGCATACTAACTTTTTATTTCTTTATTTTTGTGTCAAAATACAAGACTAGCCGAATGAATGAATCTTTCTATTGATAGTACCCAAAATGAAACTTTAAATTCTGGTTTCAGAATCGAATTGTACGTGCCATTTTTAGCAACAAAATGGCATTCTAGCTTTTATTAGCCTGTTCCAGGCTCTCAGAAAGTGGGGAAGACCCTAAAGAATGGGGAGGGCGCGAAAGTGAAAGGTGCTTTCCTCCCGTTTTTTTTTTTTTGTTTTTGTTTTTGTTTTTTATGTTCGCGCTTTCTCAATTCAGCGGACCCGACCACCTCGAAGCCTGAAACAGGCTAAGCTTGTATTGAATTAAAGCCGCCTACTCTTCCACTCTTTTACCACCTATTCTCCGCCTTATAAACATTTTTTCAGGTGTTGTTAAGATAAAATAAGTGAAACTATATATCAAAAAGATAAATCGCAGATGCTCGCAACAATAATGAATTAAAAGAAGCTCGGTTGTTTTAAGTCAATTCGAGTCGTGATTGTTAAAATATTGAACTCATGTTCCATTCAATTGAATGTCTCCGGCGTTTGTTATATGTTTTGTTTTCTTGTCGTCTTATTCTACGGTATTAATCGACTTTGATTGTCAATCGGCACAACTTGGAACATTTGTTATACTTGTATGTTATTCAGTTCTTAGTGATGTTGGCCCGGCATTTAATTCTTCATTTTACAATTGAGAGTAGAAGGAAAAATTTGAATTATATTTTGGCAAATTATTGAACAAAAATACCAACATTCAAGTTGAATCAACGGCTCCGAGGACTTCAAATTCAAATGACTGTCTTCCCTGTATAATTTCATTCGCGCACTGAAAGGGGGGAATATAATATGCCAACATACTGGGAAACTAATCGAATCAAGATACAATTAAAGAAATATTCAAATTATCTTTTGAAGTTTCAAGTACCTGACTTAGATTTCTACTGCCTTACATGTAACATATATACAAACAAAAACTAGTCATTTTTTTCAGTTTCATAAATGAAAAAAAACAAGAAACGAAGATGAATTCGAACTTGCGATTGTTGATTGTCAAGCGCATAAGGGATGTACAGTACTCAATAAATTAACTTCGAAGAGGAAATCGACGTCGATGTGTTGAAAGTAAAATTCAAAACACTTCAATCAAAGCAATCAAAATGTATGATATTGTTTGTTATTGTTAACTAAATGAATAAAGCAAGTTCTAAAACCAAGATGTACATACACTTTGCCATGTTCGAATAGAATCAGTTAATTATTATTTTTTTTGTTTTAGTAGAGAACATTTTTCTACTAATCGCACCGTTGCCACCCGGGCTGTGCCTATAAAAAGATCTAAACGTGCGTTAACTTTACTGACTCCGCGCCAGCCCAAACTGAGAAAAGTTGCTATTTAAAACAAAAATGATCGCTTTTTGGATTAAAAACAAAATTGGTTAGTTCTAATGGCATTGACTATATGATGTTGTCTCAGCCGTTCCGTATGCCTGAAATAATAAAAAGACACTGAAGACAATAGCCACCTATTTAAGTGCAAAATAAATGGCAAAACTTCAGAGCTTAATCCACACCTCTGATTTAAGCCAAATCGTCAGACAATAATCTCAAACAAAAATTTCGCTTTAAACTAAATACTTCGACCCTTAAAATAAACACAAATGTTTTTATTTGTCCTCTACTTCAGGCTTTTTTAGGTTACAGAAATTCATTTATTTCACTTCCTTTTCATACGATTTAATTTTTGCCATCAACGGCCAGGAAATCCCATAGCTGGGAAAGACTTTATTTTTCACACAAAGCGCGCCTTCAAACCATAGCCTTTCACAATGAAAATTTTATTTAAAAAATTCTAAGGCGTCAGAGAATTTAGTTAAAGGAATGAAATTTTTTGTTTCGACTCGCTTTTTTCATTGTTGAGAGGTTTCATGCTTCGTTGCCTATTTTTAATGAAAGCGCCGTTTCTCATATTGGTCGTCACCGTATTTATTTAGCGGTGTAAGTGAGGACACATGTGCTTGTCATCCAGTTGAATTTTTCCTGCGAGTTGTTAGTCATCTCTCTTATTCTTAAGCACATGTCGTAACGGGTGGAATCCTATTTCGCTGGGTTAATTTAACTCTTCCTTTATCACCAGAAGATTTAACCTGTGATATGCCAAACAAGTGAAAGAGAAGAGGCATGAATATTTAATAAGGATCTTTTCTTCAATCCACCACTTTCAAACACCTGTGTTAAAGAGAGAACCTAGTTGCAACTCACTCACAGCAGGGGACCTATATTTGCTTGAAAATCAGTTTAGTTTTCACTTTTTTCTTGTAATTCAATTGTATTCTATTGGACTGTCCATTTTTGCAGTCTCTCGCGTTTGTGCTATGGTCTATTCACCGCAAAATTAAAAACAATAAATTAAAACAAGATACAGATTTATAAACTACTCATTGTATATACAGCTTTTTAATTTTTCTTTCTCTTTACGGTCATTTTTCTGGACCATATCTCTTCATCTGAGGGATTTACAAAGTGTTATCACAAGCAATTTTATCGCAATTTCCCGGATCTACACAACTATGCCTGAAATTGCAGGTTAATATGCGTGCTAACTGAAAACGGCTAGCTTTTTGACCGAAGATTATTCGTGCGTAAATAAATCTTTCTTTCCGAGAGCCGCATTTTCAACTTAAAAAATGGTACTTAGAAAACAATTCTTTCAAGAGCTTTGATTGTCTGGTTTACAACTCTTCACGGATATAATGCGGTCTTATTTCAAACAATTTTTGCTTATGGTGAATGAATTATTTGCCTTTTTAAGATAGGGTGCTTGGTTTTGTTGATTTTAAGTCACAGGTTATGTGAACACGTTCAGGGTAACCTCAGCGGGAAATCGCACTAATTTGGCCGATCTTCATCGAGAAAGATTTGTCAAAAATTGTCGTTAATAGTCTCCCCTGTGAGTCTTTTTCTATGTGACTAAAAATAAAAAGCAATCGCTTTTCAACTTTTTTTAGCAGAGAGAAATTCGCCCAGGGGAAATTAGCCGGATTGGGGCGGGCATAGTTGACATCCAGTTGTTACATCCGAGAGCCACAATATTTTGTAAAAATCGTGATTTTAGCAACTTTCAAACA